GTATGTTCCACACTTGTGATACTGCTTAAAAATCAAAGCAGCCATCTTTATTTGTCACAGATAACAACCATAAAAAAAAGACTTTCACTTTGGCTTGAATAAAAAAAAATGTTATTTCTATATATCAGCCATTTCCCCTGGTGTTAGAAATAAATGGCAGCAATGAAAGAGCACTTAGTGATACAATAAACATGTTAACTTACAAATTTACAAGTTGCTGCCTGTGGACATTTGAAATGTACTTTGCAAACTGAGTATAATCCATTTTCTGAACAATAAAACAAATGTGCCCTTTTATGACCCTGATGAAGAAATCCTGGATTAAGAAGGAAAGGTAGTAACTGTTGTTGTTATGCTGACTATGTCTAATAAGGTTCTTAGGTTTTGTTGAGCCAACCACTGCTTCTTTAACATTGGCCTAGAGACCTGTCAGCAACCATTTGCCAACCACCAGTCACAAATGGGAAAAATGTGCATTCCCTAATGAGTTAATGCTACCTGGCAAGTCAGCTTCTTAAGTCTCATTCATGCAGGCCTAGAGACTCATCAGCAACCTGCCAAATGTTGATCGCTAGGGAAAGCGTGTATTTTGGCTGCTGACAGTGGTTTCTGGATGTTGCTGGAAGTTCCTAGTATGAAATTAGTTGCAAAGAGGTATAAGGTGCTGCACTGAAAACCTCCTTGTAAATGCTTTATTTGCTAATAGGTTGCTGTTGTTCTGTATGACAGACAGCAGCAACCTGGCTGCAAATACAGGCAAACTACTCAACAAGTGGTAGTGAAAGAGTGAAAAGTGGTTTAGTTTGTGCTACTCATAGAGGAAAATTGTGAGTCGTTGCAAATTAGCTGGTGTCTTTCACACTAACGACAGACAACCGCAGCAATCAGCTAGTGACCAAAGCAATTGTAAGGCGGCTTTTGGTGCAGCATCATCTTTGCAGCTGAGCTCGGCAGACGACCACTCACAACCAGTCAGAAACATGCATTTTTCCCTTGATACCAGTGGTTGCCAGATGACTGCGAACAGTCCTCTACAACTGTGTTGTTGAAGCATAATCCAAAGAAAGGTCTGGCTGTGTTGAACTAGCTTCATTCTACTCCTCTGGGTTTGCGATGAGTTTTTAAAAACATTAAACTTAAGATGATCAGGTTTAGCCAGACATTTTCAGACACTGGATATGTAACACTTATTGCTTAATTGAACCCTTAAAGTGAAATAGACCAGTCTTACATTATTGCAAACATAATACTAGAAGTGATGGAACAAGCCATCATGTAAACTATGTGTAAGATTTAACAATACACCAGGAGGTGTTATTAACTTGGTTCTATTTTGATTGTTACAAAACTGTTCCTGCTGCTATGCTGTGTGATCATACAGGTGCAGCTGTGCCATGTCATATCGCCAGTGATGTCAATGTACGTTTTTACATGATATAAAAGTATCATATTGCAATATTAATGATATGGTTGTACAACGAGACAAGCCCAAGCATGTCTGAGAACGAGAGCTGTGTGGCAGCCTCTGATGATGATTTTGTGGCTATAAAGATAGCTACATCAACAACCTCTAGAAAAACACAATACTTTGCAAAATATGCAAGAAGACTGTTACCGCTTAAGGTGCAAACACAACGCTTGTTTCACCACTCGAGGTAAAGACACACTTGAGGTAAAGACACACTTGTCGAGCACAACCAAGGTATGAAAGCACGCGAGGAGGATATATTAGCAAAAGTAAACAAATGACTCAACCGAGCATCTCTGGATCAGTCACTCGTTGCACTCCATATGACAGGAAGACAAACGGTGGATAGAAATTACTGATGCGGTTACCTGGTGGAAAATCAAGGCCTTAAGCAACTGGTTAAAATTTTTTTTTTTTTTTACCTGAGATGTTTTAATTCACTTTTTAATTTGTGGCAATATGCATGCCGCTAAAGAGTTACAAGGTTAAGTGACTTTAGTTATAGCACTATATTACTTCACTGCACTACCCTGCTGCTGGCAGCTTATTAAAATAAATTCACACTTTAATTTAAGTAGTTTGTCACCAATGACAGAAGCTCATTGGAAAAAAAGGATGGAAAATGCGCTTCATTTGTTTCCGTGAATAACCCTGCTGCCTACAAGCTGCAATCATGACAAAACATTGATTTTTTAAAATTTCAGAAATATCATTCTTGGAAATTTCCTTGAAATACTATCAAGTAATTTTGTGTCTATATTGCCCACACCTAGTTGGAGGTATGTAATCAGCATGTAATAAACTCAGAAAGGAATAAATGCCGCTAACTTTGTCAATTAGGAATTATTACTGAGTTATCCCCAATTAGCCTCATTACCTCAAACTGTAAGAAACTATGTCATAAAGAAGCATTACAGTCTGTAGACGCAGCACCGTAGAGCGCAGCATTTGAGAGAAACGACAACAAACAAACACAAAAAGGTGTCTGGTCATCTAGATAAAGGCAAAATGTTGCCTTTCTAAAAGCAGGCTACTTACTTAGCCACAGTTACTGCTCAGCAAAGCTGTGCTATGAAACAGTACAGACATTCATGAGTTTTGGTTTCTCCAAACAATTTTTGCAAACTTCTGTGGACACTCATAGCACTTTAAGACCGTGAAAGTAATTGCCTAGCACTGCAGAAAGCTGCAGCATTTTTAAGATCATAATGAACTGATTCTGTTCCCACTCTTCTTTAGACTTTCCAGACTTTCTTTGGTTGTAAATATTTAGCAGTTTGTAAGACTAAAACCACACCATCTCCACAACAAACCAGACTTTTCAGGAATGATGCTGACATTCTCTAGTGTATTTGGAAATTATAATGTGAGCTCGTAACAGGCTTTGATGCTACAATTGTCATGAAACCAACACAGCTTATAAATGACCATTGAAACTTTCAATTAAGTCATGAAAAATGTCCAAAAGTAGAAAGGTTTGGGTTTCTTCTACCCACGAGAAGTTACATAGCTTTGTGGCTGCAACAAGTGCATGTCTGAGAGGGCGGGCTGAGCTGGTTGGACTGCATGTTTCTGTACACCACTTTAAAGCGTCGCTAATGTTTTATTACTGAAAACAAGAATGCTTTTGTTGAAGTGTAAAATGTTTTATTTATGTGCTGAAGATGTGAAAGTAAAAACAAGCATTTTCAGCTTTGAATTTCATGCAAAACAGTCAGCGCTGACAGTGACTGACAGCTGCTCCGTCGCCCTTGTTGTTGTGCAGAATGTAAATGCTGCCATATGTGGAGCCCAGCACGTCTAATTAAAACTTAAAACACTTGATAATAAATCGTCATGATGGGAAATTACCAGCAGTCACAGCAGATATGGTGACGGAAAAATATGCTTAGTAGGAAAGTTCACTCTAGCATCTTACCATTACACTGAAGTCCTGCTGTGCTATTAACATCTACAAATCTCTTTCGGTTCCATAACATAACACTTGACACAGTCATTTAAGACCAGATCTATTTTTTGCGCTGTTTGCCACTCCATTTTTTTCATATTATATTTCCTAACTTGCCTTGACAGACTAAGTTTTAAATTGTTCACAGAACAACAGTGATGGGACTTTCTGCACTCACAATGAGGCATTAGACTCAAAGCAGACTGTCAACATGTTTTGCTACAAAATTCCAGATGTGTTCATGCTATTTACTTCCCTGACTGGACTGAATGATACTCTTCGGTAACAAGAAAGATAAAAACAGACTTGTTTTATATATGTTTACAGCGGTGCTACAGATTCGTCCATCAGCATGCCATGTTTTGTTGTAGAAATGCATTTTTACTCATTCTGTGAACTGCACCAAGTATTCTAGAAGTTGTAAAGTTCATTTTCCAGATGTTTTTTTGGCCATTTGTGATCGGTGTAGAAACCCCCAACACTTGACTCAAAGCGCTTTCCCCCACTGTCTGGCTTGCGACGGCTAATGTTTTCCAGTTGCTTATTCATCCCTTCTTGTTTCTGTGCTCCAAAGGGACTTTTTACCTGAGTCAGGATTAAGCTATATCGGCGTAGTGGAAACACCCGACCTGAGGCTGCTTGTCTGCCTGCACCTCCTTAAACCAGACTGAACCCTTAGGCTTACACATTGGCTCAACATGGGTCAATGAAACTCCAGACAAACTTGTGAGTGTTATAGGTATCAAATGTACATGAACAAATGAATAACTTCCCCCAGAAACCCAGGCACAACAGATTACATGCATATTGCGAGAAATATTTTGTTTTTTTGATTTGCTTTCGTCATTTACAGAGCGACTGTTTTATCATAGGTCACGACTACAAGTAGGAACATGTAAAGCAGTGAAGTTACGGGCAGCAATAAAAAGAAATTAAAACCACCTACACTCAGGTGTCAGGTGAATATTATTACTGGCATGTATGCTGTTGGTTGTGTGTTCTAAACTGAATGAACCAAGGCTCTTATTGTTAATCAAAGTTATGAATATACCAAGAAAAGGTCCAAGAAGAGGTTAACATGGATGACTGACAAGATTTTCTTTTACTGTTAATGTAGAGTTATAGCAGGCAGAAGCAATGTTTACCCATCCTTAGGTACAATTCTTAAATTGTGTAGGAATTATTATCTGAGGGTTTAAAATTAAAGGAAAGAAGAGTTCATCTTTCATTTCATCAAGAGTTCTTTTCTTTCTTTCTTTCTTTCTTTTAAATCAACAGGCCGTTCTAAATACAGATTGTGACTCCAAGTAATAGTTTTTGTGACCTCAACAGTAGACTACAGTAGACAAAGAGAGGCAGTGAGTAGCTGGAGGAATCTTTGGTTGATTTATCTGCTAAAGAAACACTCTTTACTTTTGCACAGCCCTTTGGCACCATCTACAGGGCAGAAGAGGAAAATTTCCCTTTCAATGAATTAAAAATACATGGTGCAAAGTGGAAATACTATGTTCAAAGCATATTTCTGTGTTCTGAGTTTGGTTTGTGGTTTTTAAAGTTTTACTCGTGTGTCCTTATGTATGTTACCTGGTATATCCTGAAAGGGATGTATCTGAAGCCTCCCTCCTCAGTGGGATATTCCATCAGCTTCCTGTTCATGGCCCAGAACTGGTCGAACTTATCTGACACAAAAACAGACACATAACATAAAAATCACACAAAGATAAAACTAACTTTTTAATAGGTCATCAGTATGCCTATTAGACCCCTAAAAGATTACTCAAATAAGTCTTACCATTAATAAAAATTATTGTTATTACACTTTTTTTTTTAAATATGTATCACAAAATAATTCAGGCTGCTGTTCCTAAGTAATTCCTTAAAAATCCCTTACTTGATTTCAAACCTTCCTTTCATTCTGAAAACTCTTCCAATTCTTGTTGTAAATCTGCTATGCGATAGTTTGCAGAGGAATGATGTATTTGAAGAGTTTCAGTCATAATTTAGAGTTCATCATAACAAAAAAACAGCACTAGTGAAGGTTACTATTTATTTTTTATGACCTTAGACAGTGGACTGATCTGTGCTTGTCCTGCGCGACCTCAGTGTAGCACTCAATACCACCTAATACATTTTATTACAGAGAGTAGAATACACCGTTGGTATTAAAGGAAATGTACTGTGCTGCTTTCAATTGTACTAATGTGATAGATGCAAACTTTCACTTCCTCACAGACAAAAGTTAGCAACGTGGCTCCACGGGGTTCTCTGCTGTGACCAATATTTCTAACATCACACATGGTTCTGTTTGTTATACTGTTAGAAAACGCTGTGCTGATGTTGCTGATGCTGATTACCTTGTAATATTTATCTCTAAAGCTAGGTGACATACATAAACTTTTTAAACTACAGGTACATCTTACATCTGTCGTTTTTACTTCTAAATTAAGAAAGAAAATTTGATTATTGAACAGAAACATGGCGTCTATCCAGACATTTACTCTGGATAACATTATCTGGCCTCCAGCAATGCACTGAGGAATCTCTGAGTCATTTTTGACCAGGATGTGTCTCTTAACACTCACGAAACAAATGCGTAGGATAGCCTTAAATATATGCAATACTATTAAAATGAGAAACATCTGCCTCAGAGAGCTGTCCTAAAAGTCTTCAGTTCATCCAGATCACTGCAGCAACAGTACTAACAGGTCCTGGGTTGCTAGTGGGCTGGGATGGTGCTGCTTGTAGTCTCTTCTTCTGTCCCCAAATGCTTAGGGCAATGATTCTCAAAGTGTGGGCCGTGAAGATTAAAATTACTCACAGTGACATAATTATATAAAATGTATTTACTTATATAAAAAGTGAATGAAAACTGGTCATAGGAGGTGGTCAATTTGTGGATTAACTCATTAGTCTGGCCCTCATTTATTGCTCTTATTTTGAAAATTGTGTTGCAGTGGCAATGAGGGACACATATGACTGGGTATCATTAGCAATTTACATAAACAACAAAATCAACAGCCTGTGTTGTGTATGTTTACTACTTAAAATTTCCAAGGAAATGCATCACTTTCACTTGAATTTTAATTAGTGTGAAGATTTAGGATTGGGTGCATGGACTCTATGGGATTTTCTGGTTTTTAAGTGAGCTGGAGCGGGTGCAATATAAAGCACTGTTGTTTTGAGTGGGTGTAACTTAAATTAAAACTGAACTGAATTGAATACATGCCTAGCCTAAGACATGTGCTAGAATGAGAATTAAATTGTTCTTTAACTCTGAGAAACACCAGTTTTCAAACACCTCAGCATCTTCACATGGAGGTTATAGTAAAAGATAGAGACGCGTCACTAAAACTGAAATTTAGTGTCAGTATTACTCGGGCCAACTGTCAAAATAACACAAGAATTTAGTTTTTTAGTTACCGTGTGATCTTTCACCATCAAAATGTTTTCCACACAGCATATGCTAATGTCAAACCCCCCACCTGCATCCCTGCCTTACTTTCACATGAACAGTCTGTTTTTCTCTCTCCTGGATGAAAGTTTGAGACCTCTCTGTTTCTGGTCTGTTTTGGATGTGAAAGTTTTAGTTCAGATTAAGTTTCATCTTTCACTTTCATGTCTGGGGCCAACTCCTTCTTTTTGGATAGGTTAAAAGCTCTTGCTTCTTCTCTGTTAAATGCAGTTTTAAACAAAACCCTCAGTTAAAAAAAACAAGTTCATAACCTTATCTTTTTAAGATTCTTCTAAACTCACTTTTATCTGCCTTTTCATAGTAATGTGATATTTTGTTATTTTCACACCACGAGTTTCAGGGGAAAGTGGGAGAGAGACAAGCAGCTGAAGTTTTGCGGGTTTGACACCCTTGGGTTTTTCTGCAAACCTGTTCGACTCTTACAAATGCCACATGCACAGTGTGCAGTTTTGACAGTTATGGGATAATAACAACTATAAGCAAACTATCTGAGAGATAGGCATTAACAATTTTCACATCCATAGAGTATGCAAACTAACCAAAAGAACCGTTAGATGCAGACTTATTTGTAATAATATTCATATAAATGGCTTTTGCTACTTTAAGCAGAATTTATTGTTCAGGATGGCTGGTGTGTTTACTGCAGTGAGCTCTGTTAATAAATGGAGGCAGGGGAAAAGCACAACCAGTCTGTGGGTCATTCTTGCTTTGCTCCATCAGCCAAAAACACTCTTCTCCATGTCAGCCAGCCATGGAGAAGAGTGAAGTTATAACATACAAAGAACTGAAACTGAGTGCTGACAACGTCGAGAAGTGCTCACTGCAGCCACTTTCTGTGCTTTTCATCCTGGATTTTTTTTTTTTTTTTAATCTTTAAGGGTTTTTTTTTGCAGTTCTTCTTTTCCTGGTGAACTCTGCTGTAGTTTTGGTCCACTATCAACCAGTCAGCATCTGGGAGACGCATATGTCATCCACTTCCAGCGATGTAGATGTAGCATTTCGGAGGACTGCACGGGAGTGCGTCAGCAGTCGGTATAAATCCCTCTCTCCACCCTCTCGAAATGGAAACGTGTACACAGACGGACACATTTGCAGAACTATAAATTCCACTTTAGACATTTAGATATAAGCGTGACTGGTCTGGAATAACATTTGTGTGCTCTAATAATAACTAAGAAGCAGGCAATTATACAGAAAACCAAGATGACACATTTGCTGCTGAGTGGTCCAAAGGGTGGCTGCCGTCCTGGTGGTTGAAGTGTTTATAGTTACCATTTTAATCAGCTTGACCAGTAGACATTCCAGGCACATCATGTTGCAGACTGGGTTGCAATTCAAAAACAAGCACAAGTTTTACAACAAACCACAAATCAGAGGCATCCAGTTCTCCCTGACACCTCTCCCAACACAAGCTTTGACTATTCTATAAAGCCGGTAGGAGATTAATCTGCTTGGAATGATGGTGTGGAAATACAAACTGGTGGGCGTTTGGAAAGAAGTTTGCAAACTCAGACCGCCCCTCTCTTTGGTTTGTTTGTGCATCATGATCATCTGCCAATCTGTTTGGATGTATTCTTTGTGTGCATGTCAACGCCACACCCTGAAATGGGCATGTGCGTGTGTCTCACCGTTCTGCAAGCCCATCCACAGCTGTTTGTGGTCTTTCTTCTGCATGTCATTGACAACTTGGCTCTTGTGCTTCAGGGCGTCGGCCTCCTTGATGCTGGACATGAAGTGAGCCTCTATCACAGAGCTGGATGGGCAGTGGAGCAGGTCCCGATCTGGAAAATTCTGACACATATTCACAGGGCAAAAATATTTAAAGCTCGATGATGGGGATACCACAAGAAACAGGAAAACATGTTCTCAGGCCATTTTATTTACATATCTACAGACAAAGCAAAATAATTAATTGGCAATTAACACAGTCTTTTTGTCTCTGCTTTGGTTCACCAACCAGAGTAATCCTCTTCATTCATCACTATTTCAATATTTTGTTGTATATTTATTTCCAATATTTTGTATTGTATTTGTAGCTGAGCAAGTAAGAGGTTTAACAGAACTTCATGCTTCTAGAAACAAATTTGATAGGAGTTATCAAAACAATAAACTTGTGATCAGCTCTTACCTTAAAGTGCACACTGATGCTCCAGGGTAAGACGCTGTTAGAAGCATGGAGGTCAAACAAGACTCCAATTGGATAGTGCCTGTATCCATGAAATGCAAAAACAAAATTATGGTACAATAGAAAAACCTGTTGAATGTTTGTGTTCAGCATCAGAGGGAGTATCTGTTCCCAAAGCCAAGAAACTAGTTTTACCCCTATCTTTGGGCTTGGAAATGTTTAAGCTGATCAGTTGCATCACCTGTAGACAGTAGAGTAGACAGGAAGTAGGGAGAGAGGCTGGGAGGAAAACACACTGGAGGTGGCCCAGGACTGACTCAAATCCAGGCCCGTGTAGAAGCCTTTCAGCTGGTGAGTTATACTAGAGATTCTGGTTTCTTTTTTAGATTGTTGTTTTTTTTTTGCCTTTGTTTTTTTTTCTTGTCTTTTTTTTCTTTTATGCTGTGTTTTTTTTTTTTCGCCGCTGTTTTGTAATTTTAACCGTTTTATTTCTTTCTTCCAGTTTTTATCCTGGGTTTCGTTGTTTGGTTCGGTGTTTGTGACATGCTTCGGTTTTTCTTCATTGGAGCGTCTTTTCTTGCTTGCATTTCTTGTTGCATTTTGTGTTTGTTGTCTTATGCTAATCATACTGGTTATCATAATTGTTAAGAAGATAAAATTACTTTTCTATATGACAACAAGTAATTAATGACTACTTTTTTATTTAGCGATTTACTATTACTTAGGCTGTGAAATAGGCTAATCACTTGTGTTGCACTACTGACATCTTGTGGCTACGTGCTGTAATTCCATCTTTATAACTGGCTCTGATTTTAGCAGTCAGTAGGCAGAAAAGAAATGCAAATACTGGCAAAAGCTTCTGTGCTGTTCCTGAATGCTTAAGTTGATAGTGGCATGAATACATAGTCCTGACTGCACAACGCTTTAGAGAACATATATGTTTACACAAGGCAGCAAAGCAAAAGACAATTACATCAAATAGATTATTTATTCCCAATGAAGAGATTTGACTAAATTTATTTTCAAGATGATGCCTAAATATAACATTAAACCCCAACCCAGTTTCCAGATAATACTGCTAGCTGTAATATGGTGTCAGTCTTATAAAGTAGGACAATAAACTAACTGGATCAGCCAAAAGACATTTCATCAGTAGACATTTCTCTAAAAATAATCATGACAGTAACAAACTTTAAACATTATAAGCAGAGAATGAGATTCTGTTCTTTTAACATATGTCTTCCACGAATGCCAAACCACCATCTCATGCCTGGAAAAGTAAAACTCCATTGATGCACTGATTGAAATGAGTTCAAACAACAGCAGTTATTCTCTCACCATTTGAGTGGCGTTCCTTCGTACTCGAACCACATCTCCTCCACATCCTCTGCTCTCATCACTTTGAGGAAGTGTTTTTTCACCTTGTCTGTGACCAGAGTCAGGTAGCTCACCCTGGGTAACAGCAGCTGATAAAGTCAAGAGAACAGGGGAAGAGGTGCATCAATAAGGGACAGTCTGTTACTCTGAACTACATGGTAGCCGTGGGCTAAATTTAGAAAGTGCACATTAATGACATAATGAGCAGATATATTGCGTGTCTGCTTGGTTCTTTGTGTGTTAACATCCAATATTACAGATGAGTAAAATGTCCTCACACAGTTATGAATTAAAGACACCTATAAACAATGAATGCATTATTTTGTTATTTTTTCCATTTACTGTAACATATCATATATGTCACATAACAACACTCAACAAAATCCCTGAAAAATTGCAGACAACAATCTGTGGAGTAACTGTAGCGTCATGTTGTACATTTTTGTGGTGCATGTGAGCTATATGGAATAGCTACGGCAACTACATAGTAACTGCTGTTAGATCACAATCCCTCAATTCACTAGAATTAACCACATTCAAAGACTCTTAACACTTAATTTACATGGATACCCTGAGACTTGAAGTACATGTTGGTCGGGACTTGGTCGGGAAATTTTTGCATAATCTATGGCCTGTATTCACAAGACTTCTTAGGACTTAAGAGTAGCTACTAGTGATAACTGCGGTATGCTCTACCCTAAAAATAAATCCTGACAGAGGTAAAAGTTTTTCACAAAGCACCACAGCCCTTGAAAGAACTCTTAATGTGAAAAAATGTTAGCAGTGGACAGGAGGACTTTTAGAAGGAGACTCGTCAGCAGAGAAGGAAATGGTAGAAAGACAAAGTGTAGTGCAACGATTTTCCCTCCAAGTGAGGAACAAATTCGCAGTTTACATATTTGAGTTAATTAATGGGTTTGTTTTGGTTTGCTTTTTTTTTTATTTGAGAAGATCCAATTATCACTAAAGACTAGCATAAAAGATCAATAAACACAAACTGAAGCTACCATATTGATATTCATGGTGTGCTGATTAACTCACATCAGTCAATGTACTTAGTTTCATGCAAGAAAACACTCCACTTGCTGGATGCCTTTAAACAGCAGAGCAATTGTATCTTTTTTTTCTTACAGTCTGTACAGCAGCTGATTGAGACAAGGTAGAAATAGTAGTATCAGAAGTGTCAGAAACCATAAAATGGAGTTATAGTGTAGCAGTAATTACTTTGATTTGTTAAACCACAGTGATCTCATTATCGTTTACAGCATTTTCACAGTCTCAAACTATTACACACTTAATTTAAATTGCCACGGTGTTGCTGGTGTAAGTTTTAAAAGCTCATCATTTAGTTCCCTTAGGATAAACAGAGTAACTTACAAAATATCCCAGAACGGTGTATAAACACAAGCAAAAATTATAGGCATGTCATTGTACTTCGGCACAGACTGGTTTGTAATTCCAAATATTGTGTAAATATTGTCTAAAAGCTAGTGTATTCAACTGAAATGTCCATTACATTAGGTCAGTGATTCCCAATTGGTGTGCAGTGCAAGCGCAATTGTGTTCCTTAAGGGAAGTTCAGGTGTGAAACTGGTTCACCTGAAAGACAAAACTCCTAAACACAAACTTGTGTACACAATGTGGTGTATGCTGTACAGTGCAGCGAGGAATGTCCAGACCTCTACATCGGAGAGACCAAAAAGCCACTTCACAAGCGCATGGCACAACATAGCAGAGCCACCTCCACGGGACAAGACTCAGCAGTTCATCTGCATCTAAAGGTCAAAGGTCACTCTTTCGAGGATGCCAACGTTCACATTTTGGACAGAGAAGACAGATGGTTTGAAAGAGGAGTGAAAGAAGCCATTTACGTCCACTGTGAGCGACCATCTTTGAACAGAGGCGGTGGTTTACGACACCAACTGTCTACCATCTATAATCCAGTTTTGAGATCCCTTC